CGTTTGGTAACTCGAACCTTCAGCTTCCTACACAGATTTTCTATGGTATTAAGGTCTGGAGACTGGCTAGGCCACTCCAGGACCTTAATGTGCTTCTTCTTGAGCCACTCCTTTGTTGCCTTGGCCGTGTGTTTTGGGTCATTGTCATGCTGGAATACCCATCCACGACCCATTTTCAATGGTTCTCACCCAAGATTTGACGGTACATGGCCCCGTCCATCGTCCCTTTGATGCGGTGAAGTTGTCCTGTAGCCTTAGCAGAAAAACACCCCCAAAGCATAATGTTTCCACCTCCATGTTTGACGGTGGGGATGGTGTTCTTGGGGTCATAGGCAGCATTCCTCCTCCTCCAAACACGGCGAGTTGAGTTGATGCCAAAGAGCTCGATTTTGGTCTCATCTGACCACAACACTTTCACCCAGTTCTCCTCTGAATCATTCAGATGTTCATTGGCAAACTTCAGACGGGCCTGTATATGTGCTTTCTTGAGCAGGGGGACCTTGTGGGCGCTGCAGGATTTCAGTCCTTCACGGCGTAGTGTGTTACCAATTGTTTTCTTGGTAACTATGGTCCCAGCTGCCTTGAGATCATTGACAAGATCCTCCCGTGTAGTTCTGGGCTGATTCCTCACCATTCTCATGATCATTGCAACTCCACGAGGTGAGATCTTGCATGGAGCCCCAGGCCGAGTGAGTTAATAATCGCACCAACTGTTGTCACCTTCTCACCAAGCTGCTTGGCGATGGTCTTGTAGCCCATTCCAGCCTTGTGTAGGTCTACAATCTTGTCCCTGACATCCTTGGAGAGCTCTTTGGTCTTGGCCATGGTGGAGAGTTTGGAATCTGATTGATTGATTGCTTCTGTGGACAGGTGTCTTTTATACAGGTAACAAGCTGAGATTAGGAGCACTCCCTTTAAGAGTGTGCTCCTAATCTCAGCTCGTTACCTGTATAAAAGACACCTGGGAGCCAGAAATCTTTCTGATTGAGAGGGGGTCAAACACTTATTTCCCTTATTAAAATGCAAATTTATAACATTTTTGACATGCGTTTTTCTGGATTTTTTTGTTGTTATTCTGTCTCTCACTGTTCAAATAAACCTACCATTAAAATTATAGACTGATCATTTCTTTGTCAGTGGGCAAACGTACAAAATCAGCAGGGGATCAAATACTTTTTTCCCTCACTGGATCTTTGTATTGGTATCCAGCCAGAGCCCGGATTTGAACCGGATCGAACATCTCTGGAGAGACCTGAAAATAGCTATGCAGCGACGCTCCCCATCCAACCTGACAGAGCTTGAGAGGATCTGCAGAGAATAATGAGAGAAACTCCCCAAATACAGGTGTGCCAAGCTTGTAGTGTCATACCCAAGAAGACTCAAGGCTGTAATCGCTGCCAAAGGTGCTTCAACAAAGTACTGAGTGAAGGCTCTGAATACTTTTGTAAATGTTATATTTCAGTTTTTTATTTTGTATAAATTTGTAACAAATTCCTAAAACCTGTTTTTGCTTAGTAATTTGGGGTATTGTGTGTAGACAATTTAAATCCATTTTAGAATACGGCTGTAACGTAACAAAACTTGGCAAAAGTCGAGGGGTCTGAAAACTTTCCCAATTTACTGTATCTGTGTATTGGTATGTACTATAGCTTAAAAATAGTGTGGTGTAAGGGAAAATATTGTTGAATGGCAGACCTTGACCCCCTTCTTCGATGGTGTTTCAGGGAGAGTGGGATATGCAAAAAACACATTTCCAATTCACAAATGCATATTAATACACACTTGTACATGTGTGAAATATAAGCACACACCAAATTATTAATTTAATAGCTTTATTACACATAGATGGGATCATTAAAACAAAATAAAAATACGGAAGAAAAAAAGGGTGAAGATGACATCTTCAGATCACCCAGATGGATCCACGAAATAGTCCTGCAAAGAATAATAATGAATCACAAAAACATTAGACTATGTCATGTTGTTTTTCTTTTGTAATATAATAATCAAAAGAAGAAACAATTTTTACAAGTGTTAGAACAGCACAACACACTTATTCTTGAAAGTCCCACATGCATGATCTTTGAAATTACTAAACTGAGGGAGATTTGAAGAGGGTAAGACTCACATGTTGTCATAACGATTCATTCCAGGCCATTCCTCACTTTGTACTCATGCACATCAGTGCTGTGCTGTTTGAAGAGCTGCAGAAGAGAAAAAGAAGAAACCATTCAACCAGCCTCTATAGTTTGGCATTCAGCCTGGACTGCAAAAAAAAATCCAAACAATGTTCTGCAGTATTGTGAAGGGAAATCATTGGAGAAGTCTACAAATATCAGTAGGCTAACTAAGTACTCTTATGTTTTGATCCTGGGACAGAATTTGGTGCCAAAGGTCATGTAGTTTAATGTGTGTAACCCCCAATAGAGGAGGTGTGCCATCATTACCAGGCCCCAGAGGAAAGCGGAGGTCCCGAACGCTAGACCCACACGCAGCCAGTTAGGGTTGGTGTGATCTGGTTTTGCTGCGGTGAACGCAGACCGACTCCCAACTGCAAGATAAAAGGACAATGAGATTAATAATCAATATTTTGTATTTGACTGACAGGCAATTCAACAGAAAGACATGTGGGGTTGTAATGCTTCAGTTGTTACTGTTAAGAGTCTGTTCTTGTTGACTCCCAATAGAGACCCCCACAAGTGACAAGTTTGACACAAATTGTGCATAAATTATTGTAGACTACACCAACACTAGGTAGACAAATCTGTCTCTCTATATCTCCATAAAACAATCATTCATGAGGTACTTATTGTGCATGACAATCCTGTGTTTGGACTAATGATTACATCCCAGGTGGCTAATAATCTAACTAACTAACTAGTAGGCTACTAGTAAGCTAACGTTACTTAGCTAAAATATTATTTGTGTTTTCATGTCAATTGCAATGTTATTAAAATGTGAATTTCTATCAATGTTGCCATACAGTACTTCACTTAGTCAAACCAGCTATGCCCCACCTTGCTAAAATAATGTTTGTTAGCTAGCTAGCTAGCTAAACTGATTGACATTGGCTAACGTTAGCTAGCTAAGCTAAGGTCAGGCCTCAAAACAGCCAAATAGCCAGTCTTCTCACAAGGTTAACGTTTTCCAATAAAATAATTTTACACAAATTATACATCTGTTTCCTTTTTATTTACTTACTCTTGCTGACGCTTGCTGCCCGTAGTAATAAACGATTGAGTGTCATTTTAGCCACAGGATGTGTTCCCTCATCCGAAGTGGGTTCGTGACGAGCTGTGATCGATTATTTGGCCTTTCCGGTGCTTAGTAGAATTTAAATGATCCCAGAATAATAGATTGTAAAAAGAGGGATGATTTTATTTAGATATGAAAGGCTCGGTGTTCTTCAAATAAAGTACACATTTGAACCAGTTACTGTAACATTTTGCAATAAAATATTAACTTCTATTCAATTCTAGTTGTGTCTGAGAAATAGCTACTGAGTGAGTGTTACATATTAGTCATGTTTTTACGTCTATGATGCCAACAACATAACAGTGATGACAATGCTGCAATGATGGCTAATGAATATGAAAATGACCTGTAATCCTATCTAATTCATATTTTTCTATGAGATTCTTTCTGTCTGGGGCTGGGCACAGTGCAATGTGGCTAGCTCTGGAGAACCCAATGCTGGTAATGAGAACAGGGAAGAATACATGTTATATCACGTCTATTGCAGAACCGAAGTGATGCACTATACTTTATAACACGTCCCCTTCCATAATTGTTTTTGATTGATTGGTTACATTTGTAACTTTTCCGTTTGATCATTTTGCACCGTACAGCAGTACGCACGCAGACGCAGAGAGCAGCTTGACCCGGAGTAGAAGGCGGCCATTTTGGTCTGAAGGGGGCCTTGGCTGTCACCACGTGAGGAAGAAGAGACCGAAAGAGAGCGAGACAACTCCGGGAGCTTTGACTCGAAGAGACCGAGAGGGGAGAGAGAGAGAGGAAACTTCGATTCTGATTCATGCGTGAAGCTACAGAAGAGTAGCCAGTTTACAGAATGCCCTCAATTACTCTACCGCCGAAGGAGAACGCTCTATTCAAGAGAATATTGGTAAGTGCCTAGCTGCCGCTTGCTAACTTGCTAAATATAGCTAGCTAGCGCACGTTACAGTAGCTACTCTATACGTTTCACATAGTTAGCGTTGATTCGAGTAGCGTTGTTTGCAATAAAACAGCATGCATTCATGTTGTATCGTTAGTTGACGTGCTGTTTCTTCCATCACCCTCTCAACGAATGTAACGTTATAGCTAGGTAACTCGTGGGCTACTATGTCGCGAGGCACTCGAAATGGCCTGATTGTCATCATTAGCTTGTTAGTTAGCGGTTTCAGTTTTACACCGGTAACTAACTAGCTAGTTAACATGAAACGTGGCTAACTAGCGAGTTAACTCACTATCTTGTTATCTGTTGTATCAGTTTGTTGAAGCGGGGTCGTTCAAAATAAACGCATGACTTTGCTCCAAAACATGATTGACAAGTAACGTTAGCTAGCTAGCTACGGCTAGATAAGTTTGGCTAACGTAGGAAGCTAGCTCGCTGCAAACTGATTCTACATCTAGCCGCACAGGTACTTCATCATTACTCAGCATTTTAGCAACAAGAGTATCTAACTAGGTATGAAGGTCGCTAGGCGTTACATTTAACATGCACAACGTATGTGCAATGTTGTCCCCAAAGATATTACTGCAAACTTGGGTGTGTTAGGTAATGCAATCCTTTACCACTGATTGCACAGTTAGCTAACAACCTAGCTACCCAGCCAGCTAGCTGTCACTCACGCTTTGCTGAACCACAGATCATATTGCAACTAATTATAAACAATTAGCTTCCTATCATGCCAGCTAAAGTGTACAAGTTTGGTCTACTTTGCTGAATATTGAGTACCATTCACACAACCATTTCCTATTTCTGGGCATGGTGTTTAACGATGTTGGAGGTATTAGCGAAGTTAGGTGGTGTCATTAGCTCGCCATCTCTCTAGGCCTGCAAATTAAAGTAAGCCACACCTACAGTGTTAGGTATAAACTGTCAGATTGGTTGCCAACATGTTTTTTTTCATAAGTATACTTCCATATTTTTGAGCAATTATGTCAAATGAGCAAAGTACATTACTGAATATATTTCTACAGGGTTTGTTCTCTCTGTAGAAAAAAGTCTGCTCTGATGCAAAAGTCTGCTCTGCTTTACTCTGCAAATATAATAGTCATTCATTTGCCACTGCTGTTTTGAGGAGAGCTCTCAAGGTTGTGGTGGGTGGGACTAGTTGCCCGGTTGTAAATGCTTACCACAAGTAATAATGTTTTGCATAGATGTGAATTGTCTGTACCCACTCAGAGCCTCTAACGTTCTGTTCAACATTCTGAAAACATTTGTTTTAGTTGCTGTGTTTAACATTCCTCAGTTTCCTTGGAGCCCCTGCCTTCTCCCTATGCCAGTGGGGATTCCTGGGCGTTAGAATTGTGTGGGGAGTTGGCAGGCTGATCACTGGGGTGCTAGGCCACACTGTGCTGATCCAGGCAGATAGGAATCGACATCTGACTGGTTCTCTAATCACTGCATCTCATCACCCATCTGACCACACATTCACACAAGGCTAGCAGTTTATTCAGACCCAATCATACAAGATATTTGTAACGATCTATTTGGGCGATTCATCAGATCTGAACTCTTAAGAACAGGCTTTGCAAAAACCTTGATGACAACACACCTCTCCCCTGTTGCAGAGATGCTATGAGCACAAGCAGTACAGAAATGGACTCAAGTTCTGCAAACAGATCCTCTCCAACCAAAAGTTCGCCGAGCATGGAGGTGAGGCCTGCTTCAACAGCTACTACTCACTTGTCTTTCAGTAGTGGTGAACATCAGTATTGGTAATTCTTTTCTTGGCCTAGTTAGTGTTTTGGCTGTGGCTGACACTAATTCCTCTTCTCCCTCATCTGTCCCTCAGAGACGCTGGCGATGAAGGGACTGACCCTGAACTGTCTGGGGAAGAAGGAGGATGCGTACGAGCTGGTGAGACGAGGCCTGCGCAACGACCTCAAGAGCCATGTCTGTATCCTTTTATACTAGGGCTAATGAGGTGAGGATTCGTATGAACATCCTAGTCAGAGGCGGGAAGACATTAGCCAAAAGCTCGACATCATAATAAGCCCACACTTTCGACTCCATCCCACAAGCCCTTACTGCGCCATGTCTACTGCACATAATCCAGACAGGGAATGGGAGAGCGCTAGATTGGCACTGACTGTTACTGTGACACCTAATAGTATAGGCCTGGTTGCATTAATACAGGGTCCACTGTTTTCATTTGTCACCATGAGTATTATGTTTCTTTGTTGCCTTGAAATTTAGTCATGCGCTTTCAGTAGTCCTCCAAATGGGTTGTTTTAGCGAGGGATTTCATTTCTCTGTGGTTTGTCTGTTTTAGTGTGTGTGTAGTCTGTTTTGCCTCCTTAACCCTTGCTCTCCCAGGCTGGCATGTGTACGGTCTGCTGCAGCGGTCAGATAAGAAGTACGACGAGGCCATCAAGTGCTACCGCAACGCTCTGAAGTGGGACAAGGACAACCTGCAGATCCTCAGGGACCTTTCACTGCTCCAAATCCAGATGAGGGACCTGGAGGGCTACAGGGTGAGGACCCAGGGAGAGGGGCCATTGTGTGTGTGCGCAAGTCTCCACTCATAAGTATTAGCTCCTGCTGTGTGTAATAATTTTTCTGTTGCGCTCTTTCTCTCTCTCTCTCTCTGCAGGAGACCCGCTATCAGCTCCTGCAGCTGCGTCCAGCGCAGAGGGCCTCATGGATCGGCTACGCCGTGGCCTACCACCTGCTGGAGGACTTTGAGATGGCTGCCAAGATCGTCGAAGAGTTCCGCAAAACACAACAGGTGAGCTTGACCTCTGTGTGTTCGAGTCCAAGAAGTCTCATTGGGTGCTCTGTAGTGTTCCTGTATCACCCATCTGTGTCAATTATTCTGATTGGTCACCCTGCCTGGATCAGTACACCCGATTGGTCAACTTGTCTGTCAGTAATTTATTTGGTCGCTATGTATGAGTGAATCTCATTGGTCCCCTGCCTGTATCAGCACATCTGATTGGTCACGCTGCCTGTGTCAGTAAATGTGGTGGGTGGTGCTGTGTTTCAGACGTCGCCAGACAAAGTGGACTACGAGTACAGTGAGCTGCTGCTGTACCAGAACCAGGTGCTCAGGGAGGCGGGGCTGTTCAAGGAAGCACTGGAGCACCTCACCACCTATGAGAAACAGATCTGTGACAAGCTTGCCGTGGAGGAGACCAGAGGTGTGTGTGAGAGAAAGAGGGGGAGAGTGAAAATGCATGTGAAAGTATGCATGTGTGTATTGAGTGTTTGAATCCTAGTGTGGGTGTAGGGGGTTATGTTTCTAGATCTATGTATAAAATGTGATTCATGGGAACCTATCTATCCCTACAGGAGAGCTGCTACTGCAGCTAGACCGCTCGGAGGAGGCCACAGAAGTCTACCGACAACTCCAGGAGAGGAACCCTGAGAACTGGGCCTACTACCAGGGTCTGGAGAAAGCACTGAAACCAGGTAACCTTTGAACCCTCACTGCTACCCACCCCATTCCCACTGGACCCTCTCTGCGGCCCCCTCTTTAGCGTGAGTCCTCTCACTACATTGACTTATGCGTTTGGTAGATTTTCTGACCAGATTTGAATCTGTGTATGAATGCCATGCTCTGACTGTTGGCTTCTTGTTGTGTCCCCAGCTAGCATAGAGGAGAGGCAGAAGCTCTATGAGGAGGCGTGGGTGAAGTATCCCAAAGGACTGGTTCCCCGGAGGCTGCCTCTCACCTTCCTCACAGGTACATAAGCCCGCCATTATCGCTACTGTTACTGTGTAATTGTCCATGGCATGACGGCCTTTCAAGACGACGGCGGGTAGACACAAGCACGTTGAAACGTGGTCTGTGGAACACTGGAGGGGATGGGGTGTTGATGAGCTTCATTCACTTATTGTTTTCTTTTCAGGTGAGAAGTTCCGTGAATGTCTGGACTGCTATCTGAGGATGAACTTCAGTAAAGGCTGTCCGCCCGTCTTCACCACTCTGAAGTCCCTGTATCACGACAAGGAAAAGGTGAGGGAGAACCACTGCCATTCCATAGGCTCCAGCAAGTCACTGACGTAACATGCCTGCACTGGACTGAGATGTCAGGGTGATCTTGTGTTTCCTTGTTTCTCTCCGTGTAGTTGTCCATCATTGAAGAATTAGTCGTTGGATACGAGACGTGTTTGAAAAGCTGTCGAAAGTTCAATCAAAGCGGTGAGTGCCATCAGATTTTCATGTTTTATTAAATCTAATAGGAACAGTATTAGAATCTCGTGAATAAGTATTATTTGTATGTGTTAGATGACGGTAAGGAGGAGCCCCCCACCACTCTGCTGTGGGTCCAGTATTTCCTGGCTCAGCACTTTGACCACGTGGGCCAGCAGACGCTAGCCCTGGACTACATCAACACAGCTATCGAGAGCACACCCACGCTCATAGAACTGTTCCTCATCAAGGCCAAGATATACAAGGTAACACACACAGCCATTGAGTGCCCACACTCGTAGAACTGATCCTCATCAAGGCACACATTTTCTAGACCTGTCATTATAGTGAAGATTTACAGTGTAACACTCCCTCTCTTGTCTTATCTTTGTGTCTCTGTAGCATGCAGGTAACATAAAGGAAGCAGCCAGGTGGATGGACGAGGCCCAGGCTCTGGACACGGCTGACCGCTTCATCAACTCAAAGTGTGCCAAGTACATGTTGAAGGCCGGGCTGGTCAAAGAGGCAGAAGAGATGTGCTCCAAGTTCACAAGGGTCAGTCAGTGTGTGTGTGTGTAGACTGTACATTGTGTGTTGCCTTAAAACCCTTTGTGTGTGTGGCGCTAACTGTGGGTATCTGTGTGTTTCAGGAGGGTGCGTCAGCGGTAGAGAATCTCAATGAGATGCAGTGTATGTGGTACCAGACAGAATGTGCTCTGGCCTACAAGTCCATGAACAAGTTTGGAGACGCACTCAAGAAGTGCCATGAGATCGAGAGGGTACGTTTTCTAACTGAGGGGGTAAAACCCCCTGTCAAAATTTGCACAAATAAGAATTGAGAACTACTCTAAAATAAAAATACTAACAATGTGATCTCTGCATTGTGAGATGGTCACGCAGATTCACTGATGAGGGTTAAACCTGTATAGATGGCCCAGTGGTAGTACAGGTCTGCTCAAAGTGGTTGGATTGTCTAATCATAACCATCTCTGTGTCCCATTAGCATTTTGTGGAGATCACAGACGACCAGTTTGACTTCCACACATACTGCATGAGGAAGATGACGCTGCGATCCTACGTGGACCTGCTCAAGCTGGAGGATGTGCTGCGCATGCACCCCTTCTACTACAAAGCTGCCCGCACCGCCATCCAGATCTACCTCGGCCTGCACGATAACCCACTCACCGACGACAACAAGGAACACCAGGCCGACGCCGGTACGTGTTGTGTGAGAGCGAGAGAGTCTGTGTGAGACCCCAAACCGACGCTTGATTGATATCATTCATTTGATGTTTTATACAATGGTTTTTGTTTTGGCCACTGAGCAATTCTGGTGAGCGCAAACTTGAACTTTGTGAAAATTGTGTGCAAATTCCAGCGCGCATTTACTGTGAAAACTGAGGCTGTACCCGCTTCTAAGTTAGTTTTAAGTGGCCAACTAGGCTACTGTGACTATTTGATCATAATGTAGGCCTACCAGAGTGGCCTACCATCAAATACGATTGAGAAAATGCATCCCATAACATTTTAACATGGAAATAGTTGTTCTATCATTCAGCCTACAGTAGCAGGTGTGTGGTGTTCAATGTAGGCCTACATTCCATGAGACTTTTGGGGGGGAAATGCTGACCTTGACATTAACCTGTTTATCCACTTGTCCTTCAGACAAGGAGGTGACTGAAAATGTTTTTGTTTGATGCAAGAAACCACTTTGCAGCTCTCGCTTTGATTTCAAAACAAAACAAGCGCGTCTACTCACGACCACTCATGCTGTAAACACAGTCCAGTTCAAAGTAAATGGCACAGATCCATATATGGCAAAGGTCTATTTGCATATAGGTCTACTGCAGCTCTGATTGTTTATACCACACCGTTCTGTGTAGAGTACGGGCTGAGTAGTGCGTGTCAATACAATAGAATCCTACTCTGATGCGTTCTGCCTACAACAAAACCTCTTGCGTAGTTTGTTTTGAATCGGTGTGTTGCATTGAAAGTGGCTAATATTGCGTTGATTTGATCAAAATTGCCACAGTAAAGGGAAACGTTAATAGTGTTAACAGGGAAAACTCTAGAACAATGGTCACCAACCTTTTCTGAGTCAAGATCACTTTCTGAGTCAAAATGCAAGCAGAGATCTACCGCTCAGATTTTAAAAACATGACTTAAAAAACGTAAGCCTATGCAACGGTAACCAATTAGAAACAGTACTGTAGCAATGAGGTTTGTGCAGTAAGTTCTAGCCCCAATACGCTATCACCGCATATTGGCTTTGCTTGAATTGGCCTGCCAATGCATTGTTGTTCGGGCCATTAAAAAAAATATATATAAATACATTTCTAAATTTGAGGTAGGCTATATGATCACACTGGTAATAGATCCGTTGTTGTATTACTTATGAGGCACAGTTGAGTGAGTGCATTTAAATAATGAGCTTTTTATTTTACTGGGCTGATGGTGGCTGCATCTGATGGTCAGTCTCAGCAGAGGGAGGGAGCAGCAGACTGAGGGTCCGCCTCAACGTCCCTCCGCTCTCCTTTCCTCCACTGACACTGACCGAAAAGGGACACAGACTTCCAGCTGATGGCGAAACTCGAGTCGCACCGCATTATTTCTGCTTCGTGCACAAATTCATGTTACTCCTATGAACAGAGAGTTAAATATTCCTCTATTAAAAAAGACCCAAGCTGCTAATAATAACGCAAGCCTATAGATAGATACGCTTTCCTACTCATTCATTACTGCTGCACTGCTTGTAGCGCTGAGTGGAAATAGGACGAACGCGCATTTTATGGCTCGTGTTGAATACAACGTTTTGACAGTGCTGAGTAAGAACTTTTACATGAACTCACTCATAAAAACCGCAGCTCTTTGCTGTATTCGTTGACAGTCTCTAGTCATGGTTTTAAACGTTTTGAAATCTCACAGTATCGACTTTGCTGTATGCCTGCTATGTTACTGCAGACACTGTAATCTGAGCCATCCGATTGGCCAGCGGTAGGCCTATAGTGCACTTGATTTACTCTCCGGGCCCGCCGGGAAGGCAGAGTTTGTACCTTCAGACACATGAAATGCACGCCCAGCCGCAGCTTAGAGGGAACATTGGTGTAGTGTCTTGATTTGTAAATGATCCCAGTGTCTGAGAGAAGTGACAGTGGCCCCTCTGTCCCTGTGCTGGTGCGTGTCCCACAGAGAACCTGAATGACAAAGAGCTAAAGAAGCTGAGGAACAAGCAGAGACGAGCCCAGAAGAAAGCCCAACTAGAGGAGGAGAAGAAGAACGCAGAGAAGGAGAAGCAGCTGAAGAACCAGAAGAAGAAGAAAGAGGATGACGACGAGGAGATCGGAGGACCCAAGGAGGAGCTTATACCAGACAAACTGGCCAAGGTGTGTGTGTGTGTGTGGCCTGTAGAAGATGAAGGAATGACTGAGCCCTAGTCGTTGGAAATGCCTCAAAGAACAAACCTGTGGTTTCGCTTTACCCTTATGGCTACTGCCATTAGCCCTGTGGGATATCACTGCAGAACATGGTGAAATTACACCAATTAGGAGATTGAACAGTTTTTTGGGATAAGACCCATGATGATGTTTTCTTCCCCATGTAGGTGGAGAACCCACTAGAGGAGGCAGTGAAGTTTTTAACCCCTCTGAAAAACCTGGTGAAGAACAAGATTGAGACCCACCTCCTGGCCTTCGAGATCTACTTCAGGAAAGGTAAAGGGACAAGATGCTGATTGACATTCTGACACGAGAACAATCCGGTACCCTTTGTCAATGAAAACAAAAACTTAAACAGTTTTCTGTTGCTTTCCCTCTCGTAGAGAAGTACCTGCTGATGTTGCAGTCGGTAAAGAGAGCGTTCTCCATGGAGCCCTCCCACCCCTGGCTGCACCAGTGTCTAGTGCGCTTCTTCAAAGGAGGTAGGGCTTCTGCCACCTGTCACACGGCCAGGCTGTGGGGCCTTGTCATTATCCAAAGCTCCATGGATTTAAGATGCCCTCACCTCCGTCTGTCTCTGAACCCTTTGGTGGTTTGTTGCTGGAATAGTTGTCTGTGTTCTGGTACAAATATCTCTACCACGTTCTTATTCTGTGTCTTCCTCAGTGTCTGACAGTAAGGACCTACCGGAGGCTGTGCGGACTGTGTTGAAGCAGGAGATCTCACGGCTGTTTGGGGAGAGCAACCCCCAGAACTTTAACAAGAACTACCTGAGCCAACACTCCAACTCTATACCCCACCGCGTGGCTGGTACGTACACACGCACTACCCAAGTCTACAGTCCAACTATGCCACATGAGACTTCACCATAACCACACGCACTGTGTGAACTTGTAACTGAAAAGTTCCATGTTGTCCCCCTGCAGCTGCTAAGATGATGTTCTATCTGGACCCGTCCTCGGACAAGATGGCCTCTGAGCTGGCTACAGCGCTGGATGAGTCCCTCACTGGGAGAAGCATCACTGTGAGCACTTACTCACTGCACTAATCCTTGCACAACATTTGTATATTTAAATGTATCAAGTACCTTTGGCACAGTAGTCCCACACCTGAACCAGAAACGGCATTAGGAAAGCGAGGCAAGGAATAATGTCAAAATTGTGTCTGTGTGACCCAAGTCTAAGCAGACACCTTATCTTGTCTTTCCTGTCAGATCTGCACAGATGTGCTGGAGGCGTTGCGTGAGGGCAATCTGGGCGACGGGCAGCAGAAGGCAGCGGAGGTGTACCGCGCCGCGTGTAACAAGCTGTACCCCCACACCTTGGCCTTCATGCCCCCCGGCTACGAGGACAATGCAACCACCATCAGCGCCAATGGAGACCTGTCAGCAGGCGAGCACGACGACATGGCCAACGACATGTGAGAGGGGAGCGAGGGAGGGGAGAGGAGGAGCGTACACGCTGCCAGCCGCCAGTCTGCCAACAACGGTTGTTTGCTTGTGAATGCCCCCTGCAGTGCACTGACCTGGACTGAGAGAGCCGCAAAGAGGAGGGAAAAACAAATGCCCATTTTACTTTTTTTTTTTTTAACCCTGTTGACATCTCTTCTTTAACTGAACAAAATAAAACGGGAAAAGAAAAGTGTTAGGGTGGCTGCCGTTAAGTCAGGTTTTTACTCCTGTGTTTTCACACCTGTGTGTCTCCTGTATGTGCATCTGCTTCTCACGTTTTTAAAGGTAATTTATATATTAAAAACAAATAATTAAAAAAGTTCGCAAAAATGGAAAGATTATAAATTGTGGTGGTGATGGAGGATTGTGGTTCTACCTGTGAGCTGGCATGTGCCAAAAATGAAAAGGTGGAACTTTTAAAAGGAGACATCACTTGTTTCCCGGGGGAGGCGTAGCGGTGATGCACTCAGTTAATCAGCTACTGAGCTCAAGCAGTCCTCTGCTCGGCCACAAGGGGGTGCAGCGGTAGAGGTCCCGGCGTGGCCTCCAGGAGGGAACAGGACAGGACTGATCTGAATGCAGAGACACAGAGCTCAATGCTCACCTGGAGTGCTGTATGACTGAGAAATGTGCAGATTTATCTGTTTTCCTTTCCTTTTCCGCTCTGTATTTTCCTTCCTAGTTTTACCCATGTGAAAGTCTCATGAATCCACTTCCTGATAAAGCAAAAACACACTGACACTCTACAGTTATTGGGGTTTGTTTTGGAGTTTTATTTCTGTTTATTGGTCAAATGTTAAAGGCTTATCCAATGTTACCAACACAGCTTAGTTATTATATTTTTTTTTTTGAAAAAGGCGTTTGTCAATCATACTGAGTTCTGCACACAGACCACTCCTATCTAACACACCAAGGAGTTATCAATAAAACAAAAGTTGAATAAAAAGCTATTTCCTGATGGCATTTTTCCTGCAGAAGTTTGTATTTTATTCAAGGATTCCGGATCAGTATTGCAATTGTCAAACACTGTCAAAATAATTTCAAGGGTCTTTAAGAGGAACACTTTCACTCACGCTACCTCTCGCATGCTCACAGTACGTACTATGAGGGGTGTAAATACCATGCTACGTAGGACAGGGCCTTCAGAGTTTTGGTCTGGGCACGTCCCCTACTGCCCCACCCTCATGCCTTTTGGCTTGTGAGCTGAGGAAGGTGTGGTCCAGGTTGAGGTAGGTGGTGAGGAACTCTGGGAAGTCTCTCTTCTGGACCACCTCCAGGAACATAGCTGCAGCTGTCAACAACGTCTGTTCCTCCCTAGAGGGGGGAGGGGGGGAAGAGTCAGGAGAGAACGGCAGAAGAAAGTTCTAGAAGGGTGGAAGAATTGGAGGCTCAAAGGAGAGAGTGCAGAGACTGAAAGGAAACTTCTAGAAACGCAGAATGTTTTGAGTTCCTGAGTTATTTTGGAAACCTTGTGCTCTTGTCCTACTCCTCCTACCTGACAGTGTGACAGCATGTGAGCTCCCCCATGACCTCCTGGGTCAGCTCTGTCACCATACCCCGGGTCACCACCCTCCCATCATCCTCCAGCTGCGTCTGATGGCGGATCCACTGCCACACCTGGACACAAAACACCACACAGACATCTCGTGAAATGGACCCTGGACTCCTCTTCTTTTTCACGTTTTTTCAGTGGGAAGTGCGGCACAGGATGACCTAAACTATAGTGAACCTACCTGGGATCTGGAGATTTCTGCAGTTGCAGAATCCTCCACCTGTCCCCTGTAGAAGAAGTGACCTTTGCCTACGGGAGAGCCATGGAGCATTACATCAAGCATTACTCAATCACATATCCATCCCAAAACGGCTCCAAATGGACAAAACCTCCATTAAGGATGATTGTTCATCATGATGCATACCCTTGAATTCTCACCTTTGAGCCAAGCATCTATGAACAGGATTCCTACAGCGATGTTATACTTCAAGCCGTACAGGGTTACTCCACCCTAGAAGAACATTTAGAGCAGTTCAGTACACGAGATGTGGAATGGTATTCCAGAGAAATGTATAGTGTAGTATAAATATACAGTAGCACAACGTTATTGAGTAACTGACCGCTGGCATACAGAGCAGGTTGTCGGGGGTAACCGCGAGGTCATCTCTAAGCTGGTGCATCTGGTTGTCACCCTGAGTATGCAGCTGGAAGAGCTGAGAAGAGAAGGATGAAGTAACAGAGAAAAAGCAGGGATACAGATAGGTGGGGAGAGTGACAAATCCAATTTTATTTTTTACATGCTTCGTAAACAACAGGTGTAGACTAACAGTGAAATGCTTACTGAGAAGATACCAGTTCCTTGAAAGGTATAGCTCAACAGCTCAATAATTCCTACTTCAAGGACTTACTTTCTGCATGGGCTCTATCAAGCCCAGGTCATACACCATGAAGCCATCAACACCAGCTTTGATCTCCAGTAACTTCAGTCTGAAATATGAGAAAGGGAGAAACAAAAGAAGAGCTGAATGGTGCAATTGGAGCCCAGTGAAATCATAATCGAGCAATCAGTCTTCACTGCTGTTGTGTTCCATGACCAAAAACACAGAACAGATCAGGATCAAATAAGCAAGAAATGTATACATTAAGTGGATATATCAGATGACGTATAGATGACTGTGTAGAATACATTGGGGAGAACAAGTATTTGATACACTGCCGATTTTGCAGGTTTTCCTACTTACAAAGCATGTAGAGGTCTGTAATTTGTATCATAGGTACACTTCAACTGTGAGAGATGGAATCTAAAACAAAAATCCAGAAAATCACATTGTATGATTTTTAAGTAATTAATTTGCATTTTATTGCATGACATAAGTATTTGATCACCTACCAACCAGTAAGAATTCCGGCTCTCACAGACCTGTTCGTTTTTCTTTAAGAAGCCCTCCTGTTCTCCACTCATTACCTGTATTAACTGCACCTGTTTGAACTCGTTACCTGTATAAAAGACACCTGTCCACACACTCAATCAAACAGACTCCAACCTCTCCACAATGGCCAAGACCAGAGAGCTGTGTAAGGACATCAGGGATAAAATTGTAGACCTGCACAAGGCTGGGATGGGCTACAGGACAATAGGCAAGCAGCTTGGTGAGAAGGAAACAACTGTTGGCGCAATTATTAGAAAATGGAAGAAGTTCAAGATGACGGTCAATCACCTTCGGTCTGGGGCTCCATGCAAGATCCCACCTCGTGGGGCATCAATGATCATGAGGAAGGTGAGGGATCAGCCCAGAACTACACGGCAGGACCTGGTCAATGACCTGAAGAGAGCTGGGACCACAGTCTCAAAGAAAACCATTAGTAACACACTACGCCGTCATGGATTAAAATCCTGCAGCACATGCAAGGTCCCCCTGCTTAAGCCAGCGCATGTCCAGGCCCGTCTGAAGTTTGCCAATGACCATCTGGATGATCCAGAGGAGGAATGGGAGAAGGTCATGTGGTCTGATGAGACAAAAATAGAGCTTTTTGGTCTAAACTCCACTCGCCGTGTTTGGAGGAAGAAGAAGGATGAGTACAACCCCAAGAACACCATCCCAACCGTGAAGCATGGAGGTGGAAACATCATTCTTTGGGGATGCTTTTCTGCAAAGGGGACAGGACGACTGCACCGTATTGAGGGGAGGATGGATGGGGCCATGTATCGCGAGATCTTGGCCAACAACCTCCTTCCCTCAGTAAGAGCATTGAAGATGGGTCGTGGTTGGGTCTTCCAGCATGACAACAACACGAAACACACAGCCAGGGCAACTAACTAAGGAGTGGCTCCGTAAGAAGCATCTCAAGGTCCTGGAGTGGCCTAGCCAGTCTCCAGACCTGAACCCAATAGAAAATCTTTGGAGGGAGCTGAAAGTCCGTATTGCCCAGCGAGAGCCCCGAAACCTGAAGGATCTGGAGAAGTTCTGTATGGAGGAGTGGGCCAAAATCCCTGCTGCAGTGTGAGCAAACCTGGTCAAGACCTACAGGAAACGTATGATCTCTGTAATTGCAAACAAAGGTTTCTGTACCAAATATTAAGTTCTGCTTTTCTGATGTATCAAATACTTATGTCATGCAATAAAATGCAAATTAATTACTTAAAAATCATACAATGTGATTTTCTGGATTTTTGTTTTTGATTCCGTCTCTCACAGTTGAAGTGTACCTATGATAAAAATTACAGACCTCTACATGCTTTGTAAGTAGGAAAACCTGCAAAATCGGCAGTGTATCAAATACTTGTTCTCCCCACTGTAGGTCCTTGCCTGGTGACGTTGGCCAAGGCTGCTCTATAGGGGGCACTGTCCCTGTTCTGAGGCAGCAGCAGGGCCGCCATACCCCCAGTAGCCAGGGCTCCTCTACGGTGACATGTCTGGACCAGCAGGTCCATGTAGCTCCGCAGGAACAGCTTCTCCATGTTGACATACTTACTGCGGTCAGGGAGCAGGAAGGCCCCTCGGTGACCTGGCAGACAATCATATGACCTTTTGTAAACTAGTAGTCCAGTGATGTATCAAGATATACCCAGAGAGATTACCCATGTTTAGGCAGTTGCTGCATTCAGTTTTATAATAAGGTTAAACTGAGCTGTTTGGGACAGAATGGTCCCAATCTAAAATACAACACGGTTGAAAGCTTGAAAGCTGTCTTCTCCAACATTGCCAGAATAGATACATTTTGTAGACCCATAAAAACCCTTAGCTTCCATGGAAAAGACAGGATCTGACTGAGTGATCGAAGTCACTCACCGAACTTGTTGACAAAGGAGGCTGAGTAATCCCAGATCCCACAGTTGAGTCCAGCGGAGTGATCCTTAAGCTCATACAGAATCTCCTCCATCTCAAATGCTGACAACACGTTCTCTATCAGCACGGTAGCCTTAATGCTACCCACAGGCAGGCCCAACTAGAGGATACACCACACACACACACACACACACACAGAGACACACACACACAGAGAGACACTGGTATTCAATCTTACTGATGATCAGTAATTTACTGTATATCAGAGAAGCAATCAAATAGCAAGCATCCCGTTCTAAAGCGTTTGACACCTTTACCATGTTGGCTTACTACAAACCTTCTGCTCTGTCCAGAGGAATATGTTGTTCCAAAGTCTCGCCTCCAGGTAGCTCTCAACCTAACGTGCAGCAAGGGTGTGAGGAAAATATATATATATTTTAACCATTTCGTGTCAATCATATTTGCTATTCTAACAGCCAATAAGAGCACAGCTATCTATCATAGCCTTACTTTGGAGAGGTAGAAAAATGGCCCACTCTCGCTGTCGAACAACAGCCTGCCACAGTGGAACATGAGGAGGCCGAAATCACACAGCGGCCCTGGCACCTCTTTGCCTTTAACCTACATACATACAGATGCATCAGCGCTGCTGAAATATCATCCACACAAAAATAAGATGATGATGGTCAGGGGCGCAACTTTCACTGGGGACGGGGGGGACATTCTGAAATTGCATTTTTGTCTCCCCCCCCCCACCAGTTTTATCATTGGAATGTGATACAAACGAGGCAACGGTGTGCTTTAGGACCATGCGGACGCCTCCGAGTGGTCGGGTAGGCTGTTTGGCGTGTTTATCTGACAAGAAAAAATACTGTCCCCCCCCACTTCTAAAACCAAAGTTGCGCCCCTGATGATGGTTACAGACATAACATGATCATTTGGCTGGCTCTACACTTTCAGCCAATCCAGACGTTGTATGCATAGATACTGAGGTATTGAGATGAATATGGACATCAGAGAGTGTTGAGGTTAGAACTCAGTACCATCATGTTGTGTTCCACCATGTTCCAGGCTCTAGGGCGGAGCATCAGAACAGGAGCCTGGGATATCTTGGGGGCATCTGTTGGAGGACAGCAATAGTAGAGCGTATACATTAATAATAATGCAGGTCTTCATACAACGCTCTGATCTTTAGATCTACTTAAACATGGTAGAAAGTTATAAAGTAGATACATGGTTTGTGATTAAAATATAAGATGTTATAAAGTCCAGTTAAACAATCAAGATATACTGTATCTAGATGCGTTTAGATTCAGATGCTGTGTGCCAACAAAATGCTTCCTGCCTTGGACCGAGCCAACCGTGAGTAATGGGTAATAGAGTGGATATAAACTCACTGGGAAATTGATTATGCACCGCCCGGTAAACATTATAAATGCCTTTTATCTGGTTGTGGTACGTCGGGCAGTTTCCATCATCAAAATCAATCTGCAAGAGAAAAACAACACAGTTGTCTACATACTGAAGAAGGCTTTTCTGAAATGCTCTGCCCACCAACAGATCCAGAATCACCTGATTTATAAGACTTGGAACTTTTATATCAAAGCATCCTTATATGCAACATCTCTTGCCTTGTAGCAATCTTCTAGACTGGATACATACATTATTGTTTCTGCATTCAACAATGTTACTTGTATGTTACATTCAACAATGTATCAAACAAGGCTAATTGGCAAAATCCGACCCCTGGATATCCTCTACCTGCAGGCTCCATTGTGTACCTGTAGGCCCTGTGCAGGGGAGCTGAGGGCCTGAATGAAGCGCTGGGTGTCGCAGGGGGCCAGGTCTCCCACATCCACATGTCTCCTCTGCAGCCTCTGGGGGACTGGACGGACCCTCCAGGTAGGGTCGCTCCTCACGGGGGCTGTGACCTCACAGAACCCCGGCAGGTCACCTGACAGGTCCAGGTGGGTCTTCCTGGAGATTCTCAGCCTCAGGATCTTATATGACAGAAAGACATATACTGTATTAGACTAGGTTGATATACTGTATATTTTTGGTGATCACTGATCACTTAGTTTGTCAACAAATGGGCCTAGAGAAAACAAATATATTTAGAACAATGTATGGAACAATGAATTAGTGCTTTGTGTCCTACATTGTCGACCTCTTCATCAAATGTTGAGACCAGTTCCTGTAGGAAGACCAGGGAGCCTGCGGTAAAGATGGTGCGATACTCAGCCTCCAACCCTGGGGGAGAAGGCTCTAGCTCCATGGTTATAGGGGCCTGTGGGCCATAGAGTTATTACAAGTGTAATAACATGCCTCAACTCTATGCAAAGAAATCATCAATCAACTGGGACATGATAGTTTATATTAAGTACTGTACACTGTGCATGAATATGTCTAGTTGGTTACTGACTGTATGTAGATAAGAATGTTACAAACACAAGTTTACATGGATCAAAAAGTCACCGCAGCTTAACTTCAATAAAACGAGCAGGACAGAGTGGAAATTTGTGAACTTTCACCAGTCATGACAATAAAGATAATGTTGTCACTTATAACATTTTAACAAATTGTAATAGGAGGGAATGAGTACTCACGGACATGTTGATGCCTTTTTTCACTACAGGAGTGGACTTTGGTAAGGTGCACCACTAACCACTGTTTGTTTTAGGTTAAGGTTAAAAGCCACTTTCTGAAACATTAACAGGATTTCAAAGTGCTGACACACGTTTTAGATCTTTTCAAACATCTGAATACCTATTAATATTTTATGCAAATTATATTTGGAAGAGATTTAGTGCTGTAGTTCACTTCTGTGATATTCCCATCTAATGCTTATTTTAGTGTTTTGACTGGGCTAGATTGGGAGGTGGGAGGCGGACTGAAGTTGTAAGCAACTTCTGAATCTGATCCAATCCATAGCGGCTTTCATTATCTTGGTTACCTCTCGCGAGAGTTGTTGTTTTCTGTCAACGTTGTACGTGGCTTCAAATCTAATGCAGGGCGGGGAAGGAGTTAGAAGAATGCATTAGCTAGCAACTTGAGATTGTAGTAGAAAACTAAAGCATGGTCATATGTTTATATCTGGAGGTCACATATTTGTCACGAATGTCCAATTCCATTTGTATTGGGCGAGATTGCTTTTCTCATTTTGACAGCCCATCCAGCTAGCATTGGTGGAGGCGCGGTTTTGCAAGGCAAGCCACAACAGCTCTGTGGGTTAACGTTAGCTAGACAGCTACTGTAGTTTGCTAGAAATCCTCGATAATCAATAACCAATCAATATGGAAAGTGTGGAGTCGTCGACGGAATTCACTAGTTCGCTGACTGTCTCGTCTCATCTTCCGCCACCACGGACACGGATTTTCAAGATCATCGTGATTGGGGACTCTGGTGTGGGCAAGACCTGCCTCACCTACCGATTCTGTGCGGGCAAGTTTCCGGAGAAAACCGAGGCCACGATCGGGGTGGACTTTCGGGAGAAACTGATCGAGATTGACGGCGAGAAAATCAAGGTGAATAGCTAGATGACATAAAATAAGTGAAATTATTGTTTGGGTTGTTCCAAAACAGCACAACCTGGAAACAATTGGCATACAGTACCAGTCAAAAGTTTGGACACACCTACTCATTCAAGGGTTTTTCTTTATCATTACTACTTTCTACATTGTAGAATAATAGTGAAGACATCAACACTATGAAATAACACATATGGAATCATGTAGTAACCAAAAAAGTGTTTGTTTTATTTTTGATTCTTCAAAGTAGCCACCCATTGCCTTTGACAGCTTTGCACACTCTTGGCATTCTCTCAACCAGCTTCACCTGGAATGCTTTTCCAACAGTCTTGAAGGAGTTCCCACATATGTAGGCTGCTTTTCCGGGTGATTGTGGAGGCCAGGTGATCTGATGCAGCGCTCCATCACTCTCCTTCTTGGTCAAATAGCCCTTACACAGCCTGGAGGTGTGTTGGGTCATTGTCCTGTTGAAAAACAAATGATAGTCCCACTAAGCGCAAACCAGATGGGATGACGTATTGCTGCAGAATGCTGTGGTAGCCATGCTGGTTAATGTGCCTTGAATTCTAAATAAATCACTGACAGTGTCACCAGCAAAGTACCATCACACCTCCTCCATGCTTCACGGTGGGAACTACACATGCAGAGATCATCCGTTCACCTACTCTGCGTCTCACAAAGAAAAGGCGGTTGGAACCAAAAATCTCAAATTTGGACTCATCAGACCAAAGGATAGATTTCCACCGATCTAATGTCATTTGCTCGTGTTTTTTGGCCCAAGCAAGTCTCTTCCTCTTATTGGTGTCCTTTTAGTATTGGTTTCTTTGCAGCAATTCGACCATGAAGGCCTGATTCACGCAGTCTCCTCTGAACAGTTGATGTTGAGATGTCTGTTACTTGAACTCTGTGAAGCATTTATTTGGGCTGCAATTTCTGAGGCTGGTAACTCTAATGAACTTATCCTCTGCAGCAGAGGTAACTCTGGGTCTTCCTTTCCTGTGGTGGTCCTCATGAGAGCCAGTTTCATCATAGCGCTTGATGGTTTTTGCGACTGCACTTGAAGAAACTTTCAAAGTTCTTGAAATGTTCCAGATTGACTGACCTTCATGTCTTAAAGTGATGATGGACTGTCATTTGTCGTTGATTATTTGAGCTGTTCTTGCCATAATATGGACTTGGTCTTTTACCAAATAGGGCTATCTTATGGATACCACCCCTACCTTGTCACAACACAACTGATTGGCTCAAATGCACAAATTAACTTTTAAGAAGGGACACCTGTTAATTGAATTGCATTCCAGGTGACTACCTCATGAAGCTGGTTGAGAAAATGCCAAGAGTGTGCAAAGCTGTCATCAAGGCAAAGGGTGGCTATTTTGAAGAATCTCAAATAACACTTTTTAGGTTACTACATGATTCCATATGTGTTATTTCATAGTTTTGATGTCTTCACTATTATTCTACAATGTAAAAAAAATAGTAAAAATAAAGAAAAACCCTTGAATGAGTAGGTGTGTCCAAACTTTTGACTGGTACTGTATAAATGCAGTATACCTCTACCTCATCCACATTGGGGTTGTTGTGGCATCAATTTCATACGTCTCTTGTCTTTGATCATCTCAAGGGCAGTGGCAGAAGAGAGAACAATTTGTCTGGTGCGCTGACTGCCCTCTGCAGAATCATACATATTACAGTTCAGTTCATCCTCTGGCAAACTCACATTGAAAATAAGGTCTAGCTAGATACTGTATTTCAGTTCCTTAGAGACTGACAACTTTCAATGAAGAAGCTGTTCAGAGTGTATTTATTTGACTCTTTCCCCTCCCTCTCTTTTCCCCTCCAGGTTCAGCTATGGGACACGGCAGGCCAGGAGCGTTTCCGTAAGAGCATGGTGCAGCACTACTACCGGAACGTGCATGCTGTGGTGTTCGTGTACGACGTGACCAGTGCCGCCAGCTTCCGCAGCCTCCCAGCCTGGATCGAGGAGTGTAAGCAGCACGCCCTGGGCCACGAGGTCCCGAGGATCCTGGTGGGGAACAAGTGTGACCTGCAGAACTTTGTCCAGGTGGACACAGACTTGGCCCAGAAGTTTGCAGACGCCCACTCCATGCCCTTGTTCGAGACATCCGCCAAGAATCCCAGCAGCGACGGCCATGGTGACGGTAACCAGGGAAACAGTGATCACGTGGAGGCCATTTTCATGACTGTAGCCCACAAGCTGAAGTCCCAGAAGCCTCTGATACTGAGCCAGCCGCCCGGGGGAGTTTTAGGGGGGGACACTGTGACCCTGAGGAGGGGAAGGGACGAGGGGACAGCGAGCTGGGCCTGCAGCTGCTGAGAGAGAGCATTCAGGGGAACAAGAGAGGGAGATATAGGAATCAGGGTAGATTCCCCCCAACAGTCAAGCGCCTTTTTATTATTTAAGTGGATGTTTGGTCACCTGAGAGATGGGGTGATGTCATCATATTACAAGAATTCAGGTTCCACTGAACCATGTTTGAGCTAGAATACTGTTTGCCAGATTGATGTACAACATATTGAATTCACACACACACACACCTCTCATAGTTTAGAGCAGGCAATATTAGTACACATCACTCAGGCGTTTCTGTACCAAAATACCCATCCATAGGGTTTATAATTGTGCCCTTGCATAAGTCAAACAATATAAACATTTTCTTAAGCTAAGTTATGATCTTCTGTAGCATGTGTTACATAAGTAACATCTATAAAACAGCTATTACAAAATACAAAAAATACAATTTATCTCAAATCACATTTCTAACTAATTGTTTTCTACCCTAGAGTGTTGTCATCCCAAATGCCTTAACTATCCTCACCATTGCTTTGTGTGTTTGGATCACAGCTGGTTCTGCGGTGCATCGTTTTCCGTGTGTTTGTGAGAAAGATGTGTGGCATAACATCAGGTAAATGTCCAGTACTGTGAATGCAGCACTAACCGCTCCTCCTGATGAGATCACTGTTGATGTGGGGCAAGACTCATCATTTCCTCTTTATAATCTGCTTTGGCAAAGGAATGGTGACGACTGCTATCAATGCATGGGTATCTTTATTTTTACAACAAGCCTGTAAACTGTGTCAAAAATAGTGGTGAGGAGATTGATTACCTGTATTGTTGCCTATAAACCTTATCTAACAGACCTGCTTGTTTGAACATGGGACAGTTGCAAAGAAACCCCACCAGTGAAATTACCCTCTGTGTAAATCGGATGATCAACATGGAGATGTTTGCCTCTTACACCTACACTTCAATGGCTTTCTATTTCTCCTGTGACGATGTGGCTCTGCCTGGCTTCGCTAATTTCTTCAAGGAGAACTGCTACGAGTTGCTGTCAACAACCAGAAGGCAGAGTACCTGTTTGACAAGCACACCCTGAGAGGCCAGAGCTAAACCACGTCCAGGCTACAGCCTCCAGCCTCAGACAAGGACTCCTGGCTTTTCTGCTCTATTCTGCTGCCTTTGCATCTGTAAAAAACATGTATGCATTCACTAACTGTAAGTCGCTCTGGATAAGTGTCTGCTAAATGACTAAAATGTAAAGGTAAATGTATGTACTGTATGTCAGATTACCAGTAAATCTTGTTGTATAATTAGTGTTTTTTTAACCAGTAGAGCACAGATGCCACCCCACATTGTCAACAACAATCAACTGTGCTAAAGTACTGTGGGCTTAGATAGCCTTTTCTCAGGATACAGTTTAATTACAAGATTAATATTAACTCTCTGCGACCTGTTGCCCTTAGATTGGTCTACAACACTAGACAAGGAGAAAATGGTAGGCTTTATCAATTGCCTTGCACTCTTGCTTACATATGGTCTTTACTGCTTTAAGTGTCCTTTTGGTTTTTCATGTGTTCTGTTAGTGCTCTGTGCAGTTCATACATTTGTCATTTCAGGTTAATCAATTGTTTTCGGTTTATTTTATTTGGGCTATTTGATACGAAAGGTATGTCTGTTTGAGAAAGACGCCATTTATTTTAACAAGACTGATCACTTCAGGAAATAACTACTGGGAACAAAAGGGAGTAAAGCCTTGCAATGGTTTATGGATTACATTACAAATGTGTAACCTTGCATTAAAGCATCATGAACATTTCAACTTGTATCATTTCAGGCCAACATTTTCTTTTGTCTGTGGGACGGGGCAGTTAAAGAAAGATCACCAAATAATTAAAATAATTTCTAAAGATGTATTTCGTTAAATACAACATGCATATAAAAACACCTAACCTAGGACAACAATTCAAGTGTGAGCAGCCTCAGAAGGACCATGCACATTTCAACAGTCATGGGAAACACAGCAAGGCACTTCAAGCTGAATTTGGCAGATTCATTAAAAGAAACCAATTTAAAAAATAAAATAAAAAACATTTACACAGGTATGTGTATATTGCACTGGGATTTCCACAAAAAAAAAAGATATTTAATAAGTGGTTAAAAATATATAGTAGACTACTGAAACGCTATAGCGGGTTAAAATGTTTGGTACATTGCATCTGTTATTCTGCCTCTTGGTTCTCCGTTGGATTAAATGCTAGTAGACAATATAGCTACTCACTACAACAGATCAGTCCTCTATGACCGGGTCAGCTCGTTTTCATCCGGATCACTCAAACATTAGAACAATGGCCAAAGGTGTCACATGGTGGTTTTCCCTCCAGAAGTCCCATTTCACAAGCAGGTTAGGTACACAAGGAGGTTAGCTAACAACTGCCCTAGAAGATTCCCCTCAGGTGAGTCTGCTGTAGGGAGGGAGTTTGCAGGGTGCCTCCTCTTCCTCAGGACATCTGTCACTGGAGAGTTAAACACTCATCGCCACCTGCTGGGAGAGGGAGCAACTGCATCACTAGACAATACCAAGCAAGTGTCTCAACATAGCAAAATTTCAGCCTAAGAGTGGCCAGAGCTCAACCACCTACCTAGCTTTCCTTAACCACCTAGATAACTTACCTTTCCATGTACACACAAGCACTGTCTGTGGGCTGGGGTCATTCTGGGGGACTAGTATCTCCTGAAACACGCACAGTCTGAAAACACGGCACATGTCTAGTCCTTACCAGGCCCGTGAAGCTGTCATAGCAGCCACAGAGGGGGCAAACTATGACAGCCTACAAAGGCGATGAGAGAGGAGAGGACCAGGCTGACGATACAGAGCAACAGTATTGTGGCATTGGCCCCCCTTCACCATCCGGCTCAGCACAAACCTCTGCAGAGCAGTCAGAGAAACACATTATTATTGAGGAACCGTCCAAGATGTGTTTGGGCAGTAAGAAGGGTAATTATGTACCTACTTAGGACTCAGAGAGAGTAGTTCTGTTTGTGCTTTAGTCAAATGCTTTGTAACCTCATCCCAGGCTATTGGGGAGGAAGTCAGATGCGCAAGACTAAATCCTTTGTGACAACTACCAATAAGCGACAATATAATATATAATATGCCATTTAGCAGACGCTTTTATCCAAAGCGACTTACAGTCATGTGTGCATACATTTTTATGTATGGGTGGTCCCGGGGATCGAACCCACTACCCTGGTGTTACAAGCGCCATGCTCTACCAATTAATGATGGGAAGTTCGGCTCTTTTCTGAGAGCCGGCTCTTTTGACTCGGCTCCCAAAGAAGAGCCGGCTCTTTCGACTCCCGAACGGCTCTTTATTTAGGATCTTTTGTAGCCTATATTTTACCTTAACTTTGAAAAAAAATCATGGTTTATGTGTTGAAAACCCTTTTGCTTTCAGTGTTTTTATGAGAGACCTTATAATGCCTAATTCTGTGCATTTATTCTGTGACAAAACCACTCTTACATTTGTTTATTTCAATTAAACTTTTTTATTGCACAAATTAACAATAAACTTCAAACAAATCCACAGAACAGAATCAAAACCAGAACCAAACTCCAGCAAACAGCATTAGTCCTCAGGGCAGGTTGGCATTCAGGAAGATCAGATGCCTCAGCTTGGATGGGCTGATAGGCCTGATACGATTTCGCCTCTCCGTGAGTATCTGCCCTGTTTTGGAGAAGATTCTCTCAGAAGGAACTGATGTGGCAACAATACATAGTCTCCCCTCCATCACCTTCACCAGGAGTGGAAAGACTGAGGCCTTGGCCTGCCACCAGCTCAGTGGGTCTTCTGCTCTCTGGATGAGGGGCTCCTCAAGGTAGCTCCTCACCTCCATTATAGCATCAGCTGTCGGATTTCTCCTTGAAGCATCTCCTGTAGCTCTGTCATCAAAAAGCCTCCAAACAGCAGAGGTTTGCTGCTCCTCCTCCACTTGGCCCTGTAATGGTGGAGCTGGCTGGCTGCTGGGGGTGCATTTTGCTGCTGCTGCTGCACTAATCCTCTGAAGAGCTTCATCAACAGCTCTACGATCACTGAAGGCAAGTTTTTTAAACCTTGGATCCAATAAGGTAGTTTCTGAAAGGACAGTGTTGTACTCCATCCGCAGAAATTTGCGGTCCATGGCTGAACAAAGAGCTGCAACTAATTCCTTCACTTTCTGCACAGTTACTGTCCATTGGTTCTCGGCTGTCACCAGCTGCAGACCTTTGCAAAGCAGGAGCATTTTCGAGGCTGTGACATAGCTGAAGGAGAGAAAACAGCAACTTTTAGAATTTAGTTTTTTAAAAGTATGTGGCATATTATACGTGATGCATTATACTGTATGTGTTGTGTTTGCAATGTATAATAGTGACTGAATAGTAGTAGAGAAAACAATGCTTCAATGGTTCTAGGTACCTGTCTGCACTTATCTCCACAGTCACCTCCTGGAATGGTTGCAGGACGGCGCAGACCTCTTTCACCAGCTCCCATTCCTCTTGGCTTAATGGCTCAATAGATGCGTTGATGAGGGCCAGGGTGGAGATGATGGCATCTTTTATTTCAAGCATTCGTTTCAACATATCAAATGTTGAGTTCCACCTGGTGGCACACTCTTGTTTGGGCCTCAGTTCAGGAATCCCCATTTGGCGCTGTGTGGACTTTAGCTTCTGTGCTGCTACTGTGCTTTTGTGGAAAAACTCCACAACAGCCTTCACCTTATCCACGGTTGTTTTGATCACCTTCAGAGCATCTCTAACCACCAGGTTTAGTGTATGCGCCAGACATGGGTGATGGGTCCACTTCAAAACTTTTATGGCTTTGGTGATGTTTGCAGCATTATCACTCACACAGCACACCACTTTGTCCTCTACTTGCCACTCTTTTGCCACTCTTAGTAGCTCCACTGCCAAGTTTTCTGCAGTGTGTCTGTCGGTGAACTCGAAGCAGTCCAGAAGGCAAGATGTCATCTTGTAATCTTCAATAAAGTGGCAAGTGACA